CTAAATCAGTAGACAATTCATACAATATGTTGGTGAAATATCCCCGGTTGTTATAAAAGAACGAATTAAATATTCTTGTGTTTTCCAAAAAGTTCACCAAGTCGTTGATGGTTTTCTGTAACGAAAGAAGAAGTCTATATCAACACATAACTACACTCAATGGCAGTATCTTTCACATGTTCTGTAAACGATTAACAAATTAAATTACTCGTTTAACATACTTTATGAGCTATATAAATAACATCAACACCGGGTGTGAACCTGAGTCGTTGCATGGTGCTTAACGGCAGTGGCGGATCCACTGACTGCATTAAGAGGGGGTACAGTTCGCTCCATTCATGCTTCAGTGATTCCTTATATAAGCAACCATAATTTTCCCACAAAAAGGAGGAGGGGGTTTGATTGGCCTTTTAACGCATGCACTTAGTCAATTAAGATATTTTCCAACAAAAAGGGGGAGGGGCCTGATTCGCTTTTGAACACATGCACTTGTAAATGCTCTTTTGTTCCGACGTTGGAAAGTTCCGGGCGGAAAGAACTAACTAGCCGAAAAGTTCCGGAGGAACTTATTAACTAGTTACTTTGTTCTTCCTCTGGTTTAAAAGTTCCACCGGAACAAAGTGACTAGTTGAAAAGTCCCAACGGAACATATCAACTAGTTAGAAAGTTCCTTTTTGCCAAATTAGTCAAAACCGAAACTAACAAACTAGCACAAAAGTTCAAACGGAACTTATCAACCAGGCAGAAAGTTCCATTTGGAGAATTGATGCAAAGTAAAAGCGCAACATATTATATTTGAACCTTTCAAAGGGAAACCAAGATACTGATTACAAAAGTCAAAAGGAACTTATCAACTAGCCACAAAGTTCCTCTTTGGCAAATAAGTCAAAACCGGAACTAACAAACTAGCCCAAAAGTTCCAACGGAACTTATCAACCAGTCACAAAGTTCCATTTGGAGAATTGATGCAAAGTAAAAGCGCAACATATTACCTTTGAACCTTTTCAAAGGGGAACAAAGATACTAGCCACAAAATTCAAACGGAACTTATCAACTAGTCACAAAGTTCCTCTTTGTTAGGGTTAGGGTTAGGGTTGTGGTTAGGTTAGGGTTAGGGTTAGGGTTAGGGTTAGGGTTAGGTTAGGTAAGGTTAGGTTAGGTTAGGTTAGGGTTAGGTTAGGGTTAGGGTTAGGGTTAGGGTTAGGGTTGAGGTTAGGGTTAGGGTTAGGGTTAGGTTAGGGTTAGGTTAGGTTAGGTTAGGGTTAGGGTTAGGGTTAGGGTTAGGGTTAGGATTAGGGTTAGGGATAGGGTTAGGGTTAGGGTTAGGGTTAGGTTAGGGTTAGGGTTAGGGTTAGGGTTAGGGTTAGGGTTAGGGTTAGGGTTAACTATTCAACTAGCTACATTGTTCCGGGACTTTTCAACTAGCTACTTTTTTCCGGAACTTTTCGACTGCACTCGGAATAAAACAACTAGTTGGAAAGTTCCATCGGAACGAAATAACTAGTTCAAAAGTTCCGCCGGAACAAAGTAAATGACGGAACATAGTGGCTGTTACACACTTAGTCTATTAAGATTTATTCCCACAAAATGGGGGAGGGGTTTGATTCGCCTTTCAACGCATGCACGTAGTCAATTAAAATATTTTCACACAAAAAAGGGGGAGGGGGCTTGATTCGCCGTTGAACGCATGCACTTAGTCAATTAAGATTGGAGTCAAAAGCACATAACACCTGTTCTGTGTTGACATTATAGCTTGTGTTTATGTAGTTTATTGAATGTCTTGACGGCGATATTTTGGCATGAACCGCCACTGATATCTGTGTGCAGTACACGCAAAATGGAGAAACAACCATTTTGCAAAATTTATCTTTTTCTTTACAGACCTGTCCTATATCTTTCTTTATTGTAGCTTGATGAAAGGCATGTGACATGGACTACTCTTATCGGGTTGTAGAAATCCATCAGTTGATTCATTTACATTAGCATAATCGTAATGATGAAGGAGATCTGTTATCCGCAATAATTATTGTTTGGCGGTGTTGCCTAGAAGTGAGAAATGAAAATTGCCACACGTTACAGCCACGAACGTGCAGGGAGTAAAGAACCAGATCTCCTGTAATATATTTAGGTTAATTTCGCTGCATTTTATATATATATATATGATATTTTTAAATTGAAATTGAAGATGATGTATAACAGCTTGTCGTCCAGTGGCAAGTTATATATCTATTATATATATACTTAGCAATTATGAATGTGATATATATATATATATATATATATATATATATATATATATATTTGTATCAATCTGATGCGTTACGCCTTTTTCAACAGATTTTTATATTTCGTTCTTATATCCCAAGTCAGGAGCCTGCAATTCAGTGGTTGTCGTTTGTTGCTGTGTTACATATTTGTTTTTCGTTCATTTTTTTGTGTGTACATTAATCAGTTCGTTTTCTCGTTTGGGATGCAGTTTGGTCTTTGTTCATTGTTGAAGGTCGTATGGTGACATATAGCTGTTAATATCTATGTCATTTGGTCTCTTGCGAAGAGTTGTCTCATTGACAACCATACCACGTTTTCTTTTTTATGTGAATCAAAATAAAACTTTCATATTCGCATTCGTATGAATGACCCAATGATTTCTCTTTTGTTTCTTTCTTCCAGAAATGATTTAGCCTTTTTTATGAAAAATTTACTGTTAAAAAGGATATCATCTTGATCATTTAGTTGTTAACAGTTTCAGACTAAGCCATAATCCCCCCCCCCCAGACGAACATTTTACTAAATGGTAATTTTGTCTTGTGATCTGTAGTGACAGTAATAATTTCCCAAATTCTTTAGAACATTATTAAAGCAGTCTATCCATCATATTAATTAGTTCTTGACCAGAATATGCATTTGGGTATTTGATAATGGCATTTAAAAAGCCACAAGAACGTCCTATCGTCTAAAATGTGTTCTTCTCACTGATGTTGTTCACCATCCAGAGCTTGGCTTACTTAATGCAGATGACCAGTCCCAGACTTTTGACTACTGGCTTATACATATCTTAAGATATATTAAGTGTATACTACCATCTTGGATTCAGAAATATAGCAGTACACAATCGGACTAGTTCATTGCATAAATCTACAAGTTATGAGACATGTTGGCAATTTTTGTGTAAGACTGTGTATTGAACGGAATAAACTTAATTGGCGAATTGCATTATTTAGTCTGTTTTATCAAATACCAAATATTTGTGTTTTGCCAATGCATTTTTTTAAATAAGCCATATACGGGGAGATAACTCTTTTAGTAAATTTGTTGTGAGATGAAAAATTTTGCTCCATGATTAAGGCATCTCTGTGAATTTGAGATGACAAACAGAAATAAAAGTGATGTGCCTTCGATTCACTGATGGCTTATTACATGTGCTTATAGTGATTTTGTAACATGATTTGAAACTCAATACTATATTTTTTTCATCAGGTTTTGACTGCTAGGTTATGCATTGGTCATCAACAGTTTAAATTGTCAGAGAAATGATGAAAATGGCCCTTTGTGTTGACCATGAAGAATGGAGTTTGCTCATTGATGAAGACTGTACAGTGCCCTATAGTTGTTTATTTCTCTCTTGTGGAGAGTTGTTTTAATGGCAATCATATACCACATCTTATTTTTATACTAAATGGATTCTCCAGTCATAAATTGCATTGTAAAGTGTTTTTCACACTTTTCAGGGAATATACAAAACATATTGTCATTGGTATACAATAGTTGAAAAAGACATTAATGATCCATGACTTTAGTGTGACAGAATGGCTGCAAATTTATAATTAGAGGGGACCTAGCTATGCTGAGAAGCATTGCGTTAGTTGTAGTTTTGAGAAACAGAAACAGTGTATGATGCAAGTAAATATATTTATTAAAGAAATTGTACATTTAATTTATGTATACAGTGTTTTTTTGGGGGTTTACATAAAGGCTCATTGAATAAAAAATTATTATGCATCCAATAAGAAACAATTTCGTTGCTTACAGTTTCTCTCTGTCTCTCTTTAACAAAAGTAATTTTTCAATACAATAGCCTTAAACTCTTATTTTCATTAATTAATTTGTATTGCAGTAAAGAATATAAAATTCAGCTTGTGGTAAAACAAAATGCAAGTTACAACATGTATACAACAAATATTATACCAATCAGTTGATGAACTTCTGAGATCCAATTTTTGTAGTTCTCAATTTTGCTCCTGACACATTCACTCCATCTTAAGCAAAAACCTTTATTTCCAATACAATGTTTTGAAACTGTTAAGATTATTAGTTAATCTTTATTGTTGTATAGTATAAAAAACTCAGCTTCTTTATTGCTGTGTTACAAACAAAATGCAAATTACAGCATAATATACAACAAACAACAAATCTTATAACAATAAGTTTATCAAGAGTCACTTGTCCTCAGTTCCATTGATGATTTAGAAAAGGAACCTAAATTTTGTAATTTGAGGGCTTGAGTATGTATTGTAACTTTTTTTTGTAAGTACAACTCATAAAGTCAGCTTTTTTAGAAATAATTTCAGAGAAGTAACTTTTTTTTCATTTTTATTTCTTTTGGAAAAAGAAATGAAATTCATCTTCTATATCATATTATAATATTTAGAAATTCTTGCTTTAATAACATTTCTATAGATTCAATTTCCTTTATAGTTTTGCATGACAATTAATTTTCAGAATCATAATATCTTTGAAATATATATACCATGAATATACATTCTGTGCATCTAACATCTTAAAGATTTCAATCAATTCCTTTTAATAGCCAAATAATAACTTTAGTATGTAGCCTAGAATAAATTATAAGTCCACAGAACATGCATATATTTTTTGATATTTTTTTATGCAAATATTTATTAATCAAAGCTTTCAAAGTAAAAAAAAAGTGTTGAATATTATTTGTTTTTTCCTGAAACAAAACTGATAGACCAAACACCGACTTACATAAATGTTTTAGCCTATTATTCAGGATACTACTAAATATTTTAGATAGACAGTTGTTTTTAGAAATACTTCTGTAGATATCGATTCCAGAATGAAATTTTATATAATCATAAAAGATGAATTCCAATGTTTTGGATATTAAATAACCATTTTTAAATTAGATTAAAAAGTTGAAATTCTCATTAAAGAGTGATGATTTGATGAGGAATCATCCTACATACTTTGCAAGCACATTTACCTCTGTTAAATTTTGTATTTTCTTATTGTTTAAAGCTGTTTTTTGTTTAAATACATTGAAAATAAGAAAATCACAGTAATTTTATTATAATATCCAAAAAAGTATGCCCAGAAGGAACGCTAAGAGAAAGACAGTTTTAGAGGTCCTCCATGTCTTCTTCATCACTACTCTCTTCCTCATCATCACTTTCAATGTCCTCAACTGATATCTCCTCCTTTATAGCCATTTCTTTCAACATTTGTTGCATCCTTTCATGATCATCAGTCAATATGCTATCAGTTAACTGAGATTCAACAGACACTTCCCCAATGTACTCTGAAAACTGCCTGTTTAATCTTATAATAACCATTTCATAGTACATTCCTTCTTTTATTAAGAATGCAGTTTCTCCTGCAGTTGGATGTTCCCCTAGTTTTACTTTCACAATATTGTACTGATGTTTGTACCAATTAGTGACAGACCTCATTTCTTGCTTGAGCAAAGTTTGTTCTTCGATGGCTCGATCAATGAGGCATTTCAGTTGAATAATTTCCTGTTTTATTGTGTTTGGAATATCTGACACAACCTCCAAATCTACCATGCATTTATAAATTTCACTGTCAATGTCCTTGACAGTATCAAAAGTGATCTGCTCTGGTAAACCTTCAGAGGAATCCCCAATCATGTTGTAAGCTGCAATGGATTTGTGAATTTTTTTTGATATGCACTTTAACTGTTTTGACAGTTTAATGAAAACAGCCTGTCCTTCTGAAATATCAATAAAATGTACAATATTATAGTATTATATAGTGTTATACATATGAGATAAGTATACAGTGCTAACACATCTTTCATAGAGGAATTGGATGTCAACAAGAAATAATGTTTAAATATTTATTCTAATATGACGTGCTTCTTTCGCTTTGTAAACAACACCGTGATAAAATTCTCGATATATCTATACTTAGCGCAAACTCCGAGATATACATAATAATGGATGTTACAATATACCTCCCATGTAAATCCACATGTATCGAAACCTATTTGCAAACGCTATGCCGATTTTTTTTTAAAAATTGCAATTAAAAAAAAGACTACAGAACTTTTATTCTTATTCGGATGCATAACAAAAAGGAATAAATGCACAAGTGCTCGGTGAAATCTACAAAATCCAAATAAAATAAAATTCCGCGAAAGTCCACTAATGCTTTTGGCTCCTTAGTAAGGAAATGTCAACTTTGGATTACGAGAAAAACATGTAATCAAAAATGGTAAATGTTGGGTTTGAAAATTAAAAGAATTAAGAACAATTTTTCTAGCTGTTATTCACGAAATATTTATGCAAGCTACAGATTTATTAGAATTTTTTAGCTTTATCTAAAATGGAGTAAAAAAGAACAGCCCCACATACGGCATACCCACTCTCACTTCAGTTTTTTAATGACCGTATTTGTCCTCTTAGAATCAAAATAATTCATGGAAGCCATAGATTTGTTGGAAATTTACACATGGCCTGGGCCGTGATATTCGTTAATTTTATCCCTCACTAATGCTCAGCATAAAAAAATCGAATATCACGGCCCAGGCCATGTGTAAATTTCCAACAAATCTATGGCTTCCATGAATTATTTCTTAAATAATGTCATGGTCAGTATATGCATTCAGTTTCGATGGAAGTTGAAGACCAATGAATTTTAAAGGAATCAATCACACAGTAAAGCCTGCTAACATTATTGTTGATACTAAATTTAAGGGTGTTATGAAGTGTTTTAATTCTTTGTATTGAGAAAAATCTTATTTCAATTTTCATAAATTGTCGTTATGCAAAAAATATCATAAAGTTATGTTAGCTCAAAGAAGGCAAGTTCAACATAGATTATTAAATATTGTTTTTATTGGTACTGATATTGATTTTGTTATCAGTAAATTAAAAGCAAACTAAATATTATTGTTATTTACATATACACATTTATGGATCTACAATCTGTCGATACCTGTATCTTGGCATTGCACAAGGTCATGTTTTTCTCTGACTGTTTATGATGTCTTAACACTAAATCCATTGGATGTTGGATGTGTACGGATTGATAATTTAGTCTTAGATGCATAATATTTTTTTTTTATTAGTTGTTAGTGGCTTTGAACTAGCTGTCAGTAACTGCGAGTACTCTCAGATCTGTACTTAGTGTCTTTTTGTTGTTTGGATGTACAAGTACCCGGCCATGCCCACTTGTATTTGTAGTATTTGTATTTTTATCCATCTGATGAGTTTAGCCTCTTTCAACTGATTTTTATAGTTCGTTCTTATGTTGTACTGTTACACCACTGTTCCAGGTTAGGGGAGGGTTGGGATCCCGCTAACATGTTAAACCCAGCCACATTCTGTATGTATGTGCCTGTCCCAAGTCAGGAGCCTGTTATTCAGTGGTTGTCGTTTGTTTATGTGTTACATATTTGTTTTTCGTTCATTTTTTGTACATAAATTAGGCCGTTAGTTTTCTCATTTGAATTGTTTTACATTGTCATTTCGGGGCCTTTTATAGCTGACTGTGCGGTATGGGCTTTGCTCATTGTTGAAGGCCATACGGTGACCTATAGTTGTTAATTTCTGTGTCATTTGGTGTCTTGTGGGGAGTTGTCTCATTGGCAATCATACCACATCTTCTTTTTTATAAGTATGGAATGAAAAAGTGCATTACACGAGGAAGCCTGCATGATAAAAATTTCTGGAAGATCTGATTTGCAGTTCTACCGAAAAATGTTACTAAAATTTCATACATGGCCATTATTTGTAAAATAAAGCATAGTAAGTTCAGTAAACATGAAGTTGTTAGAGATAAATGAAAAAAGCATCACAGGATTGAGCATGCTTACATAAAGGAAGTTTTAGATTCCCTTCCCTTCGTTCTATGGGTAATAAAACTTTGCTTACTTGAATATTTGCGCAATAACCGTAGTAAATAGTGCCTCTCTGAAACATGTTTCTTCAGGGTTACAAGTTGTAATTTTTTTTGTTTTTCTTTCACAATCTTTACATCCTTCTTATAGTTTTCGTCAGTTTGATGCAATCTAGAGGTCTTGTTCTTTTTTTCAAATGTTGATAAGGTTTTCTCTAGTCTGTAAAGATATTTGAATAAAAAATTTATACATCAAAATGTTTAGTTATTTTTATATATTGTTATATATGCCTTTCAAAACAACTTTTTAACATAATCAGCAGTCATTTCACGGAATTTCCAGGCAAAACTCTGCTCATGAGATCACAAGTGAGTAGTAAGACTCAACTGGTCGGCAAAACAAGCCTGACTTTCCATGTATGTACTTTATATTGGGTAAAAACTGAAGACAAAAAGTGTACAAAATTCAGAATATTTGCACAAAAGTGTAGCTTTTCTAGTGTAATATGCGTGTTTTCAAATGTTCATACATGTTAAAACATTTCTAAGGTATTTAAATAAGGTCACAATTAATCTTAGATCATCATGTTAACTAGTTTTATATCTTTTAAACTTTTATTAAAGGATGCGAATGTTATTTTCCCTTCTGTTTTATATTTTAAATGATACTGTATATAATTGCCCTAAATATGCATCATGCCAGGTTGTAAAAAAAAAGGCAATTGCTGTCAAAATAAATATTATTACAATTTCTTAAAGTTTTCGTAATCATCACCTCTCTTTTTCTTCCTTGAACTTGTCATCTAGTTGTTCATATCTGAAAATTAAGAATGACAATATTAGAAATAAATATATATACTTACAAAAAGCTTATTACTTAAAAGTACATAAAAATCTTCTATTTATTTCTCTTAAATGAGTAATCATTTTTGGTAGCAGTCATGTTGTAGCCCTAATCACAACCAATATAAATATAGATTATTACATTGATACAAGTGGATTATTGGATTTGTCCAATCAAGATAGTTAAATTATCAATTTTAAAGTCCGAGCCTCGGCAAGATTGGATCGAGATTGGATAAATCTGATAATCCACGCGTAACTATGTAATAATCTGTTTCTCTAATGATAAAAATTTTCCTTTTTTTCTAAACTAAAATCCCCTTCGAGTGCCTTCCACTTTCCATGAAGTTGTCAATTTTATTAACACTTGTTAGAACATTTTGATCATTTCAGAGAGCTGAGAAAGGTTATGACCCTTAAACTCAGCCAGTCATCTTCTGAGATCACACAACCACACATTGATTAAATTTTTTTATACAATGGGTTCGGAAAGGGATATATTTCCATAGAATTAGAGAAAATCATTTATAAATAAAGACATCTGGCATGATTAGTTAATATATTGCTAATGAGACCACTTTCCATAAAAAACACCTAAGATGTGAACACTAATAAACACTTTGATCATCAAACAATGGAATCACTATAAAAATAAATGGAATGTACTATTGGTATATTCTGTCAATCATAATATATGCATGGTCAATATTGTACATTTTCAACATGATTTTTAATAATATCGTTGTAACTACAATGCTGTTCCTTTTTCCTTGAAAGTTACCAACCAAATTAGACTTAACTCTGGGTTTGTACTAAAATGAGTAATTTTGTAATGGGTGCCACATGTGGAGCAGGATCTGCTTATCCTTAGATCACCTCCAGTTTTAGTGAGTTTCCTGTTGTACAAGTACAAATAAAGCAAAACTTTATTTGTGTACCTGTTATTTGTACAATAGTTGGCTGATTGCAGGATAAATGTAAACTAATATGCAATTTAGAAAAATAACGGCCTGATTTATGTACAACATAATGAACAAAAACAAATATAATAATTTATTCACATTTTACTGGTCATTATTGTGGAACTTCTATGACCATTCTATTCAGTAGACGATGAGTACTGGAGGATGCATGATGGAAATGTTATATGTAATCATATTATATTCAATATGATATCGAGGCCTTAAAATGTACTGTTTATTTTTTGACATACCCAATTCTGTAATATCTTTGAAGACTGAGAATATATTCATCTGTCTTGTTCAGTTTAACTGGAAAAAAAACCGAACACAAATGAAGAAGGTAAATTAATTTTTACTGGCATTTACAAGAATCAAATGTATTAAATATAAAAGTAGTTTACAGCCTCTGATATAAAAAACCTTGTTTGTGATTTCTATATGTGTAAACATAGAGTTTATATGGCATTAGTAAGGAAAGAATGCTTGCTTAAAATTAATTTTTATGACATCCTTTATTAATTCCAAATGTTTTGTTTCTACCCCATATATTAGTTTTGGAACAGTTGGTAGAGTTGCAGTGTACAAAGATAATGTAACAACCAAATATTATCTCAAAATATATTACTAATTTGAAGTAGAAATTGTACTCAGCGCCGAACATGATAGAAATGTTACGAAACCAATCTACATGTTTCTGATCCTAGCTGGCTAATAAATTTTGATATTTTAAGACAATGTATATAGTTTTAATACTCAATATGTCTAGAATGGAAATTATATCAAAATTAATTCAGAGTCCTCTTAACTATAAAAAAAAGAGTTTTTTACTAAAATATAAGGAGGTCTTACTGTGAGATACTTTCATATATGTGACATGTAAACGTTTTAATTTTGAACACAGTACAGTAGAAAATGATCATGTTTTGACAAAACTTGAAAATAGGAGATGTATAAGTGCGTTGTGTGATACAGTTTCTTTCATTTTTCATTGAAATATAAATTTAAAACATATGGATTATTAAAACTTACTTGTTGCATCATTGTTTTGAGTGTGTAGCACTGAAGACTTTTCCTCTTCAATCCATTGGATAATCTTATCATTTCCAATAACCTTGTCTGAATACAAACAAACATGGAATTATAGTTTGCAAGTTGATATACTTCACATATGTTTTACACATAACTTATATAAATATACAACAAAAATTTCATTGTAACAATTAACATTATCTGTGGTTTAATTTTTTTTCAACCTGAACATTTGGTTATAATATTAATGGATTAAATAGATAAAAATATTTTTCTTCAATCATGTTGGAATGCTGTTCAATGTGAAGAAAGCATCCTTAATCATAATATTTGATGTTTGTATTTGTGCTTTGGTCTCAGATAAGGTGTTTAACATTTTTTTTTACATAAAACAGACACAAAGTGAGGGCAAAAACTCATTCCTTAGGTAATTTGAGCTAAAATGACTAAGCAAACTATTTGTGGCAGTTAACTGTTCCAAGATAGGAAGTTGGTTGACTGAATTGCAGACAAAACTAAATTTTATTGAAACACTTTCTCAAAAGCAATACAAAGAGTTGATTGGTTTTGTTTCTGGGTAAAAGTTTTTTATCTAAAGATTTTTATAATGCCTTTATAAATGATATGAACAGATAATCAACTTCAGCATATGAGGACACATGATATTCATTAAATAGTAATAACTAAATAAAAGTAACAAGTTATTTATTTTTGAAAGATAGTTTCTTACCATGAACAGTTGATACAATCTCCTTCATGGCCACATCACTGTTTTCCTCAATTTTCTTTGATCTTTTGAATTTCATAACCAATTTGTAACCTGCATGTTGGAATTAAGTTTTATTATCAATATAAAATTTTGATTCTCTAAAATTGCTGATATAAACCTATTATACAAGTTTTATAAAAATTTGGCAATAATTTTATGTGTGAGTGCTAACTGTTGACCAGATGGAAGGACAAGCAGAATTTCTATGTTCCCCTCAATTCTAAAATAAAATTTTCTAAATCAAGGGAGCAAAATTAATTTAGTATCTTAAACTTTTTTATTTGACTTGATAAAACTGGCATTAAAGAAATGTCTCATCTGCCTTTTATAAATACGAAATCATTAGCTGTTATATTATGATAAACATGCATATACTTTGACCTATAATGGTTTACTTTTATAAATTTTGACTTGGATGGAGAGTTGTCTCATTGGCACTCATACCACATCTTCCTATATCTATATGCAACAAGTCACAGGCAGCATTCCTCCATTACACATTTGCAATTTTCTGTAATTACCTAGTTTATCTCTGATTTTCTGACCGAAGTAAATAAGGCCATCTGTCAACAGGTCTGTTCTATTTTCAGGCGTCATCTCTTTTGTGCTAGAAGAAAATCCACCCAAATAAGACCATAACCTTTCGATACCTTCGCCGTCTGTAAGACCATGATTTTCTGTCCTCCTAGGTCCATACAAAATCTACAAGTATATAAATATTATAACATAAACTTCAATATATTATAGACAAATGTCTAACAACAGTCATTTAAATATGAATACCAAGTTTTTTATATTAAAAAATCTTCAAAATTTAAAATGTTGCTAAGAAAAGAGAAATCATATCATAGTAAACCCATATAGAAAACAACATATTTGGTCTTAAAACTTGCTATAAAAAAAATTTTCATGTTAACATATACTGAAAATCTTTTCAAACCATTCTAGTATAATATATATAAACACAATATGCGAGTACATGATATATGAGCAACACAGTCAATTGATGTCTAATTAAAGTTTTGTGAGTTCTTAAGTTTCCATTTTAATGTATAACAATTACATATACAAATATGTACTGAACCAACCAATAGTTTAACAAACATGTGAAATTAGATTATCTTACTTGACATGAAATACTGTGTCCATAGCAGTGGAAAATTGGTATAGAAAATGTAATTTTTTCTAAAATGTCGTTTCGCCCTGCTTTCTGAAAAAAAAAAAAGATTGTGTTGAATCAAATTAAGACTCCTGTAAACATTTTTATAAAGTTTCAATGATCTTGATTCAAACTGCTGAATAACTAATTGATAAAACTAAATGTGGTATGATTGCAAATGATAAAAAAATCTAACTGTAATAGTGCAAATTTACAACTTCAATATGACTGCAATATTTATGTAAAGTTTAAGGGATTTAGATTATACATCATATGAGAAAGGAATGTCACTGACTAATACTGTATTTTGTAAATTTATTAAAATGACACCCAGTAAATGTCAAGTCGAAATAATGGAAGGAAATCCTTGAAACATTTCTATAATATGATATCAGATGCACAACTGCTATAAGTTTGTAACCTCTCTGTGTCATTAAAACTGTCAGAGAATTTATTACATAAAGTTTATACTGTCTTGGTGTCCTGTATAAATTTTGTGAAATATTACTATGTTGATGAAAAAAAATCATAAAAATTTCTTACCAGGCTGTGCATGGCTTAATTTTTTGTAATTATTTAATGAAGTTTTAAGATTCGTGGGTAAATTTTCTAGTATTTTCTAATAAATTGAATTACATTACTGCCCAAACTATATACAGTACAAATGAAAAAAGTTTCAAACCTCTAGATGTCTTTTTAACAAACATGCAATGTCATACGAGATGTGCAGGTGTTTGTCTTTGTTTGCACTTAAAAGCAGTTCTATCAGAAAAACAGCATATCCCAGTCTACAAAATAAAAAGAGAAATGTTTCTTGAAATGACAAAAAATTGGTTTCCTATTTTTAAGTGAATTCAAATTCAAACTGCATATGTCCCTGTAAGGAATGACTGTAATTTTTTTTCTGTCTATGAAGAAATAACATCAAAAAAGTGGTGCACACTGAATAACCCGTGTAGCGTGTTATTTTAAAGTGTGCACCACATTTTTTATGTTATTTAGAATAGACAGAAAAAATATTACAGTCATTCCTTATAATTTAATTCTAAATTCCATTTTAAACCAGAGTAAATCATGAAAAAACGTTGAAGACGTCACGGTCACTTGACTAAATTATGTCTATGAGCTGATAAACAAAACACCGTCAGCCAATCAGAAGAAGCGTTACATCCAAAATTAAATTATTCTTTCATAACCATAATCCTTTTCTCTTCTATTCACATCTCCTTACCACTGAATACAATTCTCATTAATTTAGATTTATGTCATGAGCAACAAAAACCTTTCAGTAGTCTAAAACCCTTCAACATCACTTCGACTTTAGTGTAGTTTTTAATGTATTTTGATAGACTTTTATTTGAACTGTGACTTTAAATAAAATTTGTATTGATTTTTTTATTTGAATATATTGCATAAGATTCTATCAAACATCAATCTAAAAATTGATTACATTACATGATATGCAAATATTTCTATAAAACACATAAGGTGAAATAAATAGGCATAAATTTGGAAAGTTAGCCTTACATGAACATACTAACTGGTGAGGTCACAGTTTTCATGGTAAATAAAAAAAATTATTATTTTAATCTGAAAATGAACTAATTTCACAGTATCCTACTTCTGTGTTTAATGAACCATAAAATAAGGGTTAAAGCCATATATGGTGAAAGTTCACATATTAATGACTGCATGTTCTAAGTTTCAAGTTGATGTAACCACAACATTTGTTCAAATATCCTAAACAAAAACATTTATCTGATATGGGAAGGAGAACAAATGACATACAAATCTGAAAACATAATAAGGAAGGAAGGCCTTAAAATTACATTTTCTAAAAATTATCTATAATAGAACTAACTTTTCACCATGTTTTAAACTAAAAACTTCTGAGGGTAATCGTGTCTACAGGTAGCTCCAAACACTGCTGTTTCCGACAATTTCTTGTTTTTTGCTTTGGATCTTAAGTCATTTCCTGCTTGGAAATCGCTACATTCCTGAAAAAAGATATAAAAGCTATCAATTTCTCATCTTTTTTTTAACTACTTGCCGTTTTTCAAATACAAAAAAAATCAGCATTAATTATTTTTATATCCATATGTCTCAAATGTACTAAAATAAGTGTTTCTCGTTTCTCGTTTTTTATATAGATTAGACCATTGGTTTTCCCGTTTGAATGGCTTTACACTAGTAAGTTTTGGGGCCCTTTATAGCTTAATGTTCGGTGATCCAAGGCTCCGTGTTGAAAACCATACTGTGACCTATAATGGTTTACTTTTATAAATTTTGACTTGGATGGAGAGTTGTTTCATTGGCACTCATACCACATCTTCTTATATCTACTAAAAATAAAAACCTAAAATATATTATTCATCAAATGCAATAGTCCTAAATTTGAAGAAATTTTGGAAACAATTTTGGAATTCTTCATCTTTGATTTTTATGTCTAGAATTCATGAGGCATTTTAATTAAACATATATATGGAACTTATGGAAGGCAACTTTAATTAGCTAGTATGGATGGGTGTGAAAGGGTTTAAAAATGTATGCAGGTCTCTTGACTGCTTCAGTAATTCCCTACATAATCAATCAATTTTTTCCCACATAAGGGGGGGGGGGGGGGGGGGGGGGGGGGGCTGGGCCCCATGGATCCGCCTATGGTAAATAAATAAAATATGAAACACAAAATACCTTTTCTATTTTTGGAGTGTCATATTTCTTTATGAAATCATCTACCAATTCCTGTTGAACGAAAAAATTATCTTTGTGTTTTGGTTCAAGCCAGTGGTTACCAGATGAAGATTTCCGAACCAACTGAAAGTCTGCATCAAAACAAAAGATACTGGTTTCTGTCTAAAAAAGAAATGTTTGGGGTATATTAATCTACTGTTATAATGAAAATCATACGCAAAATGTTTTTACTAGAAACTAAAATATCAGTCAATTGTACGAAAGTGCACCGGATAATTAAAAATAATTATCAGATAAATTATCAGATAAATATTTAAAATAAATAAAAACTTACGTCAACATCATTTAAGGAGTGTATTAAGTAGAGATGGATTCTTGCTAAGGAATGAACATAGGTGCGCTAAGCATCATTTCAGTTCAAAATTTTGTGAAGCTGTTTCAAAGTGATGATAATAACAAAAGAAATTGATAAATCACTTTATCATATACTTACACTAAATAACATATGATTTTTACCGTATGATAATAGCATAAAATTAACGTAATTCCATGTTTTTTTCGAATTGGTGCATAGAGGGCTGATATGAAAAGTTTATCACATGCTTCGAATATTATCTCATGGCCCTTTCCGTAACCTTATCGCATGGCATTCCGGTTATACTCGGGAAATTCCGGAAAATACACACCAATGGTACTTTTCAGTGAAAAACATTACAAAGTAGGGTACAAAACAATTATTTGGATACAGGAAAGTATATTGTGTAAAATTCAATAAAAAACAAACAAACAAACTAACAAATGATAAAATAAACGCATTTTAAAAAAATTCCAACATATTTCTGAAAGTTACTTTAAAATGGTGACTTTTCCAAACGGTGTTCATTACATCTATTGTTGAATTTTTTTTAATCGTCCATATAAGAATAGATCATACTGTTGTTTTTCTTCTCTGTTGATGCATTTGATAGAATTTCATTTTGGATGTACTACCTTTGGGGTCCGACGTCTGTAAACTTTACACTCTTTGAACTTCTATTTGAGAACCACTTAAAAGGATTTATTATATTAATCTGTTATTTTCTCCATTGTTGAAGTATATGATAAAAAGATCATAGCACGTCATTTTTCATATCGCATGTTTTATCAGCCCTCGGTCAATATCAGCCCTCGAGCCATGCGATTCTTGGGCTGATATTGAACCTAGGACTGATAATACATGCGATATGAAAAATGCCATGCAATAATCTGATAGTACAGTGATTGATTGATTGTTGTTCCTCTTTTTGTTTATGGTGTTGCATGTGGGCTATTGTATTCTACTGATTATTGCTTTTATACTGTGGCAAATATTTCATTAAAATTTATCAATCATTCAATGTTAATCTAGCACATTATATCAATTATACCTCAAAACAAGCTGGACAGGTACAACCATCATCTAGATCTGGAAAATTATTGGTTAAATAGTCCATTTGGTATACAAACTGACGAAATTGGTGAATTGTTTCTGCCATTAAACTCTTATAAATTTCTTTTCCCTAAAAGTAGAGTTAAAAATTAAATTTAAGAATACGCAATTGTGGCTATATGGATTATAAGGGAAAAGATAAAACCCTCACCACCACCACCAACCAAACCTTAAAGGCTGTACCGTGACCTATAGTTGTTAATTTCTGTGTCATTTGATCTCTTGTGAATAGTTGTCTCATTGGCAATCACACCACATCATTTTATATATAAATGTGTAAAAAAATACTGTATCCTTTATAAACAACATAATTATCTAAATTTTTCAAGACACATATTTTATTGGTACTTTTCATTCTTTCAAATGTATACAGTGTCATTTATTTTTTGAAATGCCTTATATAAGTTATATAACAATAGGATATGCTGAGGGTTTTATAACAGCAAAACTATAAATCTCATTAGTATTGAATCTTAATTAAATTAACCTCTTTTGTGACCAACATCTTGTACAACTTTGGTTGTCTAGCTTTTAAAGCTTCACAAAACCCCTTCACGGATACATGGCACTCGAGCAATAAACCATTTAACCAGCGAAGTAAATCAATGTGGAAGGCTAAATGAGGTGTTTTTGGTGAGGCAGGCCACAGATTGTATGACAACAAGGTAATTGCTTCCTCCTCACAAGAACAAAATTGAATTTTTCTAAGATGTTGTCTACCTGAAAAATAAAGACAATTATTACAGGTAACAATAAATAGAGAAATTGTTTTTAAAAGTTACAAGTCTTGCAAAAAAAATGCTTAAAAAACAGAAGTTAATTAGTGTATTCCACTTTGGACCACCTATCACTTTAAAAATTTTAATTGAAAAAAAATATTTAATGTCACAGTACCCAAATTTCGCCTATTTAGCAAAAATAGCAGCGAAAATCTTACAAGATTTCTTAGGGACTAAACAATTTGTATTTTTTTATTATTTGACATTATGCAAGTCTTTCAAATAGTATTTGAAAGAGTTGCATAATATAGGTATATATATATCTAAATATTCACAAAATACAGTACAAATCAACAGATAAAGTATTCACTGAAAAAAGTAAAATCTATGAAAACGTCGCCATGCAACATCAATAAAAGGTCATCTTTTAAAAATGAGCAAATAAAATATGAAATGAGCATCCATTTCTTAAAAATTGAATAGTAAGCATGACCTTATGTCAAATTGTTCTAAATGATTGAAGAAATAAAACAAAACACCTTTTATTTAACTTCTAAGGATGTGAATTTAAGCATGGATGCAATTTGGGTACTCCTCATAACAGACTCATGGATCGTATGAAGGTCGGTTCGAACCCATTTTTCTATGATTCGATATAGATTCAAATTCAAATTAATGGAACTTTATAGTAAATAAGGATTCATCTACCAAATAAACACAAAATAGAAACTTTTGTTTGGATCATAAATGAATGTTACAGGTGAAAAATCTGTCAAAATAGTTGCAATTTGGTATATGTATATATTTTTTTTATTTTTTTGTCTAAATCATATCAAATGTCCATTTAAAAGTAATTGATACCTTTATCCAACCTAAGAAATGCTACAAAAGAAAGTATGTTAGTTACTATATAAAGAATACCTTTATCATCGATAACTACTATTTCTTTCATGTAGTCAGTTGTACACATGTCATGTTGTCTTCTCTTCCAAGGCTTAGTTGGAGGTGCATAGCCTATAAATGCCCCATGCTATAAAAGAAGCATGTGTTTTAATCAATTTACCTTTAATTGGTTCATCATTACAAAAATAATACTAATCTTTGATATAATTCTTATAGTAAACTATTATTAGTTCAACCAAAGTCTACAATAAAAACCTAAACTATTGTTTTGAACTAATTTTAATGGTCTTCTTCAATGCCCTTACTGCTAAATTTAACAATTGTTAATGTGTGTGCATGAGGAAAGACAAAACCATAATGTTTAATGATACTCAGATCAATGGTTTGCTTTTCAATGTTATTATATTATTGTCGCATTAAAAAATACCCAAAATCTCTTCTTTATATAATCATACAGTGCATATATCATCAAATTTATAGGTTGTTGTAATTTAAAAAAACTAATATATCAAGCTATCACAGGGGTAGGGGTATGTTGAATATAAGAATCAATTGTGTTCAGTAACTTCTTTTAAATTATGAAATCCAGGATCTTAATAAAATCACTACCTTTTTTTGTATTCCAATAACTGCAAACTAGAGGCTCTAAAGAGCCTGTGTCGCTCATCTTGGTCTATGTGCATATTAAACAAAGGACACAGATGGATTCATGACAAAATTGTGTTTTGGTGATGGTGATGTGTTTGTAGATCTTACTTTACTGAACATTCTTGCTCCTTACTATTATCTCTATCTATAATGAACTTGGCCCAGTAGTTACAGTGGAAAATATTTTGTAAAAATTTACAAAAATTTACAAAATTTATGAAAATTGTAAAAAATTTACTATAAAGGGCAATAACTCCTTAAGGGGTCAATTGACAATTTTGGTCATGTTTGACTTATTTGTAGATCTTACTTTGCTGTACATTTTTGCTGTTTACAGTTTATCTCTATCTATAATAATATTCAAGATAATAACCAAAAGCTGCAAAATTTTCTTAAAATTACCAATTCAGGGGCAGCAACCCAACAACATGTTGCCTGATTGGTCTGAAAATTTCAGGGCAGATAGATCTTGACGTGAAAAACAATTTTATTCCGTGTCAGGTTTGCTCTAAAGGCTTTGGTTTCAGAGATATAAGCCAAAATCTACATTTTACCCCTATGTTCTATTTTTAGCCATGGTGGCCATCTTGGTTGGTTGGCCAGGTCACCGGAAACATTTTTTAAACTAGATACCCCAATGATGATTGTGGCCAAGTTTGGTTAAATTTGGCCAAGTAGTTTCAGAGGAGAAGATTTTTGTAAAAGTTAACGACGACGGACGACGACAACGACGACAAAGACAGACGACGGACGATAGACGCCAAGTGATGAGAAAAGCTCACTTGGCCCTGTGGGCCAGGTGAGCTAAAAACATTATATTAAACTGCCAATAAGTATGAATAAGAAGAGACATTGGGGTGAAAGAGACCCCAACCAAATAACAAACATTGACAACAAAAAGAAAATACATCCAGATATCATGCCTCAAATAAATTAAACCAAGCATGGCCAATTTCCACAAAAATTGTAATAATTAAACAAACAGAAATAATATGATCAATCAACACCTATTTCTAATTTTATACATTTATAACAAAAATCAATACATGAAACCATAAAAACAACCTGGTCTATGATAAATATTTCATAAAGCAATTATCTGCATGTATCTTCATGCTTTATTAAGAAGGGGGGCTGTCATCACACATACATTTTTATTAATTTCAGAAATTCTTACTGAAAAGATCTGCTTTACTAAATTACAAGTTAATTTTACATGGTTTTTCTTTAAAAAAAGGGGAAAATCTTACCATCCATTTCTCAAAAACATGTAAATGTGGAAATTGATGCCTAATTTCCAGACAACTTTCACATATAACTGGCCAAGATATACAATCTATGCATCGGTAGAGATCAAGGTTTTCAATTCCACAATCCTGGCATTTAAAATCGACTACTGCTTCTTTTTCTTTTGCTGCAGACACCAGCTTCTTGCATAATTCTGACCAATGGTTTAAACGTTGGAACTTGGCTTTAGCATATTCTTAAAAAAAAGTACTAAAGTATTTGGTACTGTAAGTATAAAAAACAACCTAAAAATATCAAAATTAAATTCCAATTAGACAATCTTTTGCATGATATTTATACTTAATGAATAATTACAACACATATTTTACAGTCACCTTCATCAATGATGTTAACACATTTGCACCTTTTAAAAAATACCAATAAAATTATGATGACAGAATATGCAGAATTATCAATTTTTTTTTATACCATTTTTTGGTCAACTTTCAAGTTCTTTCTGGCTTAAAAAATTCAATTTTATAAGCCCGTTTACAGAACATTCGTTTTATTGTATATTGTTGTTTGTCTGTCCGTCTGTAATCAACACGTCTGAGAATCACTCAAAAAAGGCTTAAACCTTTGAAACTTGAAACTTTGGTGAATGGTTTATATCTATTAAGATAAGCTTCCTTTATTTTTTAATACATTTCTGATATGATATTGATGAGTTATGGACATTTTTTCATTGAAAAAATGAAGGGCATATAATGCACTCATGGCACACCTCTTTATTCATCTTATAACCCATAATTCTACTTTAAGGAGATCATAAATGCCACTTTAAAATAATAACACTTCACATACTATTTTTAGGGTCAACTGTAAAAGGTGTTTCATGCTCATTGTTCAGCTGTACATCACCATTTCTTTCTGGTTCATTGTTCATCACCTGTGCATTTATAGTTTCATCTTTATCATTTTTGGCACCAGCAGTTTTATCAATTGATGATAAAGGTTTGTATGACTTAGTTATTGTTTTCTTTTTCCCATTTTGATGGACTACAAAAGTGCATGGCACCTTTCTTTTCTTTATATGAGACATCTAAAAAATAAATAATTAAAAATCATCAAACTAAAAGTACAATTAAATTATCAATTTGTATTTATAGAATATATATTATATATAAAAATATCAGTTTCTTTTTGTATTGTTTGATTGCTGTCTCATTGACATATTCCTCTGTTTTTTAGGCAATTCGTTGTGTTCATATGTCATGTTACTCAGTCCAAAAGTTGCTAAGTTCAAAATTTGAAAAAAAACAGTGGTGTAATGCTACTAAGAATAAACAACTTATGCTTGATTATCTCCCCTTTCAAAATTTTACCATTTACAATTAAAATATATTTCTGAATTTTCGTTGATAAAATAAATTTAATAAGTATTCTTAAAAGATTTGATATATTTCTGAATTTTATTTCATTATACATTATAGAAGGTTGTATTAAATTATCATATCTAAACATTTTGACTAAAATGTTTACTTACAATATAAATTGAATGGACCTTTAATTACATCAGTACTTGGTTATAAATCTTCGTACTGAAAATATATCAAATTCTTAAGGTCACTATCATTGTTTGCCTTTCATACATATGGTCATATCATATGTTTTCTTGGTCATATGTTTTCGAACTATGCATGCTTTTTCAATGGAAATCGTGACGTCATAATGCATTCTTAATATAACGAAAACCTATGAGACGATGATATATATATATTATGGTGTTAGCGCTGTATAACCACAGATAATCCAACAGAGAATGTCTGTCATATAAAGTTGTCACAGGTTTAGACACACTTATATATATATCTATAATACTAAAATAACAAGGTCCATTTTGTTAGCCTTCATGACGTAAACACGACAAATCAAAGAATTTGACTTATACATAACTTATATAGGACAATGGTGTTGATTAAAAATTACATCAGTCCAACCCTTTTGTTTTCCACATTATAGATATTGCCAATGATTAACAAGTGCCATGTGGAATCAGATACCGATACCAATAGTATATGTCACATGTATGTATTTTCTGTATCTTCCTCCAAAAAGAGCACTATCTGGTACCATATCAAAAATATGTTGCTCCTAGTGCAAAATGTAAATCCTATTTAAAAAGTGCTTGATTACCTCCCCTTTCATAATTTTATAATTTAATTACAATTAAAAAACATTTCCCAATTTTATTGGATAAAATAAATAAGCAAATAGTTTCTTTAGTGCTTACTTACCAATACATGTAGTATTAAATTAACTGGAACTTGGATCACATGAGTTCACAGTAAACTATCTTCAATCTAAAATATCATTCAGTAAATTATAAAGGTCACATTCAGTTGCTGTTATTTTCATTAATGATATATATAAAATAATAGCCAACAATAAATCTTACGGAGCGATGGATCATATAATTATGATACAGTACACTACAAAATACAATATATAACCAGTCTAAAAGGGTACAACATCACCAACAATATATATATATGTATACATATATGTTGTTTGTGCTGTATTTAGACCCCTCTACCAAGAAATTTGTTTTGCATGCACACATATAAAAATTGCGGTTTTTATCCAACGCAATCATAGGTTTGAACGTTGTTTTCAATTTAGACTTGTGTATACATATATGTACATAGTAAATTTGCTGGTTGGTTCTTTTTATAGACTTATATATATACATATATATATAAGTTTTAACTTTCACTGCAGACCATGTACTAACCTCTACTTGTCTCTTTTGGTATTGTTCAGTTACTGACTCATTGACATATTCCTCATATATTTTTTGTTTGTATTTCTTGGAAAACCACTATATTCTTTAAGCAATTAAAAGTTTGAATTTTCTCTGTAGACTTTATACTGACCTCTTCTTGTCTCTTTTGGTATTGTTCAGTTGCTGTCTCATTGACATATTCCTCATATATTTTTTGTTTGTATTTCTTGATAAACCACAGTGGTCTAAAATATTTTTATGCAATTAATATTGTAATGATATCCTTTTACTTTTTTTCTACCATGTGACAAAAGATACTTAGCCAAAAATGTTTATTCTGTTTTCAAAAGAACTAAAAGAACTGGTGTAATGCTACTTCTAATGGAACAACTCTTGATTATCTCCCCTTTCAGAGTTTTATCAATTAGAATTAAAATTTATTCCTGAATTTTGTTTGATTAAATGAATAAGTAAAAGTTCCTATATATTTGACTTCAATGCCGCAACTTACCAATACAAATGTAATAACAACTTAACTGGGCCTTGAAACACATGACATCAGTACACAGTAGTTATTAGCTCTTCAAACTGAAAATATAATTGAATTATTAAGGTCACATTCATTTTCAGATACTGAAACCAATAGTATATATCAAATGTATGTATTTTAATTTTCTATATCTTTCTCCTTTTATAAGAGCACTCCCTTGTACCATATCAAAAAAATATTGCTCCTAGTGCAAAATGTAAATCCTATTTAAAAAGTGCTTGATTACCTCCCCTTTCATAATTTTATAATTAAATTACAATTAAAAACCATTTCCCTATTTTATTGGATAAAATAAATAAGCAAATAGTTACTTTAGTGCTTACTTACCAATACATGTAGTATTAAATTAACTGGACCTTGGATCACATGAGTTCACAGTAAACTATCTTCAATCTAAAATATCATTCAGTAAATTATAAAGGTCACATTCAGTTGCTGTTATTTTCATATATGTATGTATATAAGTTATCACTTTTTCTGTAGACTATCCACTGACCTCAACTTGTCTCTATTTGTATTTGGTTAGTTGCTGTCTCATTGACATATTCCTCATATTTTTTGTTTGTATTTCTTGGTCAACCACTATTTCTTTATACAATTTATAGTGCAATGATGTCATGTTACGTTTTGCCTAAACCAACGTTGCTATTAGTGCAAAATGTTCATATACATTGCAAAGGAAATTAAAGAACCTTAGTGAGCGCGCTCACATACCCCATGTCCCCACATTCTCATTGGAGAAATAAAATAAGTGTAAGAAAAAAAAATTGTATCAGAAAAAAAATTGAATCATAATTTCCTGTCAATATGCACATCTACATAGTATGTCCATATTATCTACACAGTTTCAAGAAATTCTGTTGTGTGGTTTGAGAGGAGTTGCGATGACAAAAGGTTGCAGTAGCATATTGGGCAAATAAGTTCAAAGGGGCGTAACTCATGGAAAAAAAAATGAATCGTAATTTCCTGTCGATATGCACATCTACGTAGTATGTCCTTATTATCTGAAAAGGTTTCATGAAATTCTGTTGTGTGGTTTGAGAGGAGTTGCGATGACAAAAGGTTGCAGTAGTATATTTGGCAAATAAGTTCAAAGGGGCGTAACTCATGGAAAAAAAATTGAATCGTAATTTCCTGTCGATATGCACATCTACGTAGTATGTCCTTATTATCTGAAAAGGTTTCATGAAATTCTGTTGTGTGGTTTGAGAGGAGTTGTGATGACAAAAGGTTGCAGTAGTACATTAAAGTAAATAAGTTCAAAGGGGCGTAACTCCTAGAAAAAAAATTAAATCGTAATTTCCTGTCGATATGCACAACTACATAGTATGTCCTTATTATCTAAAAAGGTTTCGTGAAATTCTGTTGTGTGGTTTGAGAAGAGTTGCGATGACAAGAAATAGGACTGACGGACTGACGGATGGACAGACGGACAGATGGACAGACAGACAGACGGACGGACAGACGGACGGACAGACGGACAGACAGGTCAAAAACATTATACCCTCCGCAACTCGTTGCGTGGGGTATAATAAAAGCACTGATATGATGCTACTTGTAATGAAACAAGTACCTTTTAAATATCTCCCCTTTCAAAATTATATCATTTACAAATGAAATACACTATGAACAAACTAGTAGACATTCCTATACAATTTGACTACAATGTTTACTTACCAATAGGTATGACTTGCCCTAGCCTTCAACTACATCAGCGCATAGTATTATTATATCTTCAAACTAAAAAAAAACAAACTGTAAATTAGAAGGTCACTTTTATTTTGCTACAAATAAATTTCATATATATCTAAAAGTTTGAATTTCTCTGTAGACCATGTACTGACCTCTACTTGTCTCTTTTTGTATTGTTCAGTTGCTGTCTCATTGACATATTCCTCATATATTTTTTGTTTGTATTTCTTGGTAAACCACTTTATTCTTTATACAATTAATATTGTGATGATATCATTTTACTTTTTGTCTACTAATAGAACGGGTGTAATTCTACTTCTAATGGAACAACTCTTGATTATCTCCCCTTTCAGAGTTTTATCAATAAGAATTAAAATTTATTCCTGAATTTTGTTTGATTAAATGAATAAGTAAAAGTTCCTATATATTTGACTTCAATGCCGCAACTTACCAATACAAATGTAATAACAACTTAACTGGGCCTTGAAACACATGACATCAGTACACAGTAGTTATTAGCTCTTCAAACTGAAAATATAATTGAATTATTAAGGTCACATTCATTTTCAGATACTGAAACCAATAGTATATATCAAATGTATGTATTTTTATTTTTCTATATCTTTCTCCTTTTATAAGAGCACTCCCTTGTACCATATCAAAAAAATATTGCTCCTAGTGCAAAATGTAAATCCTATTTAAAAAGTGCTTGATTACCTCCCCTTTCATAATTTTATAATTTAATTACAATTAAAAAACATTTCCCAATTGTATTGGATAAAATTAATAAGCAAATAGTTTCTTTAGTGCTTACTTACCAATACATGTAGTATTAAATTAACTGGACCTTGGATCACATGAGTTCACAGTAAACTATCTTCAATCTAAAATATCATTCAGTAAATTATAAAGGTCACATTCAGTTGCTGTTATTTTCATATATGTATGTATATAAGTTATAACTTTTTCTGTAGACTATCCACTGACCTCTACTTGTCTCTTTTTGTATTGTTCAGTTGCTGTCTCATTGACATATTCCTCATATATTTTTTGTTTGTATTTCTTGGTAAACCACTTTATTCTTTATACAATTAATATTGTGATGATATCATTTTACTTTTTGTCTACTAATAGAACGGGTGTAATTCTACTTCTAATGGAACAACTCTTGATTATTTCCCCTTTCAGAGTTTTATCAATTAGAATTAAAATTTATTTCTGTATGTTCTTTAATAAAAAAAAATAAGAAAACATTTTTATACAATTAGACTATAATGCCATCTAACCAATAGTAATAAATAAATTAGACAGAGTTACATGACATCAATACATAGTAAAGCTCTTCAAACTGAAAATAAATAAAGGTCATCTTTTTGCTGTAGATTTATATATATGTATATATAAGTAGAAAATGTTTATGAAAACTTTATGTTGACCTCTACTTGTCTCTTTTTGTATTGTTTGGTTACTGTTTAATTTTCACTTACTGCTCATATTTTAAGTTGTATAACAGAAGGGGGTTTTACATGTAAACCACTCTATTGTATTCCATTTATTTTGCAATCATATATTTATATATTTAGCTCTATTTGTCTCTTCTGTGTGAGTAACTATTGGTGCTAATTATTAATCCTATTCATAAGAATAAAAAAAGCACTGATGAAATGCTACTTTAAATGAAAGCTTCTGATTATCTCCCCTTTAACAAATTTTATCATTTACAATTCAGTATATTTCTAAAAAAAATAATTTTTAAATAAAAAGTTTACTAAAATGTTCACTATAATAATTATAATTATAAATTTATTGACCCATAGAACCAGAAAAACCTAAATTTATGTAAGGGTTTTCAGACAAATTTCCTATTAAATATTCCTATTGGATTTATAATAGTATAAAGGCTTGTTAATTTATAAGCCATTTATTTTGTGTCATATAGCTTTGATGTTTAATGTAAAACTTTTTAATTAGAAACTAAATTGTACAAGTCTTTAAATATATTTTTGTTTTTCGAAATTGTGAAATTTTTTTATTCACCCCCTCTCTTACTTTAGGTATGGCATATACCTATTTTACCTAAAATACTATCAACCTATCCATAACTTTAAACAATTAAGGCCACAAGTTCTATCTTATATTAATTTCCATGATCTTAAATTATTTTTAAGGATTTAAACTTTGCTAAATTTTTGTCATCATCTCTAATTGACTAGGTTAGGAATGAAAGTTTATTCTTATAGTTTGGTTCCAGTTTCGTTGTAAAAATAAAGTGAGATAAGTAGTTAGGATTCATTTTTCTTTTTATGTTTTTATTGTCAAAATCCAGAAAAGTCATGTTTTCACCGAGATGGTTTCAGTATTGTACACGCCCCTACCCTACCGGAAGTGTACCATTACTATGTTTGTTTGGCAAAATAAACAGAATATTACGTTTTAAGTTAATTTTGTTGCATTCTAATTCGATTTTGGTTATCATTTTAAGCCCAAACGGATACTTTTAATTGAATTTCAGATACCATTAGTCTGTAAATTTAATTATTAAAGTTCACATTCCTCAAAATGAGATCGTTCAAAGTTATTTTTTTGAAATGAAAGAAAACCTCGAGGGTCCGGAGGGGAGGGGGGGGGACTGGGATGGGTCATGATATTCCTTGCTTTTGAGGGTCACCCATGCTATTTTCAAGCTGTAAATAAATCGTAAAATAAAATATTTTTGGAGCAATCTGGGACTATTAACGTGTTAGTATAATAGTATCAGGAGGAATAGAAGACACTGAGAACTTTAAAATAAATATTCAGGCTCTATAATGTGCTTCCAGGAAGAAATAAAAGAAAATAAAACGGAATCACAAAAATTGATTCTTGCTTCAAGCATGGCAAGTAAAAAAATATCGTTACCATCCCTTCACAACATTTTTACTATCTCCTTAGTATGTCGAACAGTCGAAAATTCAATCTAAATGTTTGGTAATTGTAAACAAAAGTCCTGATAACACAGTAAATCAACTAGTTTTCTTTAAAAAAAAAAAACAAACAGCATTGCTCATAAATTTCAATTTTGTCTCATAATTTGCAGCGTAAAATTAATCAAAAACTAGACTAATATTGTGCGTATTGCTCTTTTATATATTAACCCAAGGTGTCAGTACATGTAGTTAATCTATCTACCTTTTAAAATGTAAAACTACCAAATTTGTTAAAATGGCCGCAGCTTTCTTCTTGTTCAAGTACCACGTTCTTTCTAAAACAGCAAATGAGAGTGTTTCCGAAAAGACTTTTAATCTTTAAATAAGCTAACAGCACACTGTACAGTATATACAGTATAATTTGTTACAATTCAAAAAGAAAGCGAGTGTTTCCGAAAAGACATTTCATCTTCGAATAAGCTAACAGCATACTGCAGCATACTGTACGGTATATACAGTATACGTTGTTACAATTTCAAAAAGGCTAATAACACTAATAACTTTCTTATTGATGAAGCAAATAGTTATAGGATGGGGTGAAATGCGATTAGAATATGGGCTTAAGAAGTTTTGAAATTTCACGGCCCATGTATTCCTATAATTATTATGTGTTCGATTCCAATTTCTTTTGCAGAAAATTACTCGACATACAACTACTATAGTATGTATAGTATATAACATCATGATCCAGTCCGTGCTTAATATAACTGAATGCCATTAAACAACCAAAGACACCAACATGTAAATTCAAAGCGATGATTAGTTATGTTTTAGAAGCGTCATTTAGTGTTTTGCCAACTCCCCTCCCAACCACTCAAAACAGAGGTCTCGTGGATTTTCATCCTTAATCCGTATTAGACTCTAATAAGTCCCCGATGTGTATAATACAGTGAAATACAGTATTACAATATAACATTAGGGGTGTATATCGGACCGTCGGACTACTGAACTGTCGGAATTTCGGGTTGTCGGATTATAGCTACGCTTTTGTAGGTTCTAGTAAACTATTTGATTACCAAGAGTTAGACCTTTGAAAAATCCTTTCTAATATATAAAATTTTAGAATTCATGCACAGAATAATCTACTGAGGAAAGTTCAAATCAACAGAAGTAACTGTATACGTCTTATAAAGAAAATAAAGTGAATATATACTATAAGCACACAGACCTACATATATATATATAAAACCTTTAAGTTTTTCAGCAAGAACTGCACCCAGGAATAAAATAGTTTACAAGCCTTACATTTCGAAATATTAAAGCGTGGTCCCAAATAACCAAATATCAAAGTAAGTGTTAACCTCATCAGTACGATCGAGCAAAAGAAAACTTAATTACATAAGTATACAATAAGGCGTCACTGTCATTCATAATATTTCTTAAACGGACCCCCCTTCCCCTTTATTTAATTTTGAATTCCTTACTCCTCTGTTAACAATATTTTTTGTCTGAGTTAATATTGTCGGAATGTCTGTCCATTTTGCAGCATAAAGATACTATAGAAGTCGTCATGAATGAAAAAAGTTCGTCTCTTAATTCACACTGGGTTGATTTGCTTGCAATTATAACTACATGTAGCCTCGGGGTAGGTTTCATTGTTATTAGCTTCATTTATGGTTAATCCAGACATTTTACCGCTTCCACTACAAAAGTTTGGGCACACGCGGGGTCCCCCTTTTTTTCAAAATCCTGGATCCGCATCTGATGTCGCGGTGGATCTTCTATACAAAAAGAGGCAGATGCATTGTAGTCATCGGATTAAATTTTATAGATTAATTTAAGTTTTTAACAGTCGTTTTACAACGTGTAAACATTCGTCGGCCAGTGTTATTTTACTTTCATAACAAGTTTTATTTAAAAAAAAAAAACGGATTGTGTGCAGTGGCACATCATCCAATAACAATGTCCGGACCAAGAAATGCTTCCATGTTTTTATAACTTTTAGCAGCATCCATAGTAAAATAAATCAGAAAATGAAAGAAATACAAATGTAAACAGAAAATCGATAATGTTTTGATCAATACACGTGCGTTATTTTCACGGTTGTAATGGCGGATCGGTCACGTGAGAGGTTAATGGATGCGCCCATGTTTTCTAGGTCAATTACAGACAAAAACCAAAACAAACAAAGGTATTCTGATGACACATAAATTACAAAGTTTAAGTTAAAGAAATAGTTTAAATCTTAAATAACAGTACCTGAACGTATCACTCCTTATGCTCCTGGTAAGTTTGTTGTCTTCACTTTTCTCACTATTTGAGTTTACTACACAATATCCAAACAAAATTTATGATTATCGTTCACAAATGTAAAATTAAGTGTCTAAATTATTCATAACGAACAACAGTACGGTTTACTGTGTGCCTGTATAATCTTGATAATTCCCCACAACACTAAATGCTTGTCAATCACAGCATGATTTTACGGCATGTACTAAAACGTTGAGTGGAGTGGAGTGGAGTGTTAGAGTGGAGTGGTGGAGTGTTGGAGTGGAGTCATAGAGTGAACACATGGAGTAAGGAAATGGAGTGGAGAGGAGTAAAGGATTTTGGTTAAATATTGAACGAATCCATAAATCAATCACACTTCATATCAAATGAAATTGTTAACGAATTCAAATGAAAATCTCAAATGAAAATCATTTATAATTGTTTTTTTTTTCTTCTTTTTTATTGAAATTGCAAAACACGATGATTTTATCTTATTTCATTTGTCATATTTGATTATTCATCAAAGTTGGACAATGTTTTGGGTAGCATTTTATGACAGCTCAGTTAGAGGTGTGATGATATTGTTTATCTAGTAATAATTTTTACTGTTCGGAATTGTAGTGTATTTCTAATGGCAGTTTTTTCTGGACTTCGTTTATCTTAATCATTATATAATGTCTCATCACAAACAATTAAAATGCATCAATCAATTCACCTTGAAGGGTAAATAATTATCTGATGAAATGAAAAACCCATCATTGTTTCAAATATCAGTGAACGAAAACGTCTGCATTCAATTGTCTCTAGACACTTTCAATTGAAACAATAACAACACCCATAAGTTATACAAATTAATTCATAAAATATATTTCTTGTAATATTCATTTCATGCGTCCAAAGCTCTTTTCTGCTTCTGTTTGACTCTGACAGACTTTGCAGGGAATAAGACATACATTTTTTTAACTAGGGGCTAAACCTGCCACAATGTGAAAATTAACAAAAGCACTATGGGCATTTCAATAAAAGTTTTGTGAGCTCGTCCAAAATTTTAGTAGCATAGGCTACTGGGCCCTTGTTAATCCTTTTCCCTGCTTAGTATATCGTATTAAATACATGTTGTCAATGTTCAAGTTTATTATTTCCATATAATTATGTATGATATCTGAAACTTCAGTATTGTGTATTTTATTGCTCTTCCAATTCTTATAATTTTATGGAAATAATAAACTTGAACATTGACAACATGTATTTAATACGATATACTAAGCAGGGAAAAGGATTAACAAGGGCCCAGTAGCCTATGCTACTAAAATTTTGGACGAGCTCACAAAACTTTTATTGAAATGCCCATAGTGCTTTTGTTAATTTTCACATTGTGGCAGGTTTAGCCCCTAGTTAAAAAAATGTATTTCTTATTCCCTGCAAAGTCTGTCAGAGTCAAGAGCTTTGGACGCATGAAATTTATGTAACGTATTGTTTTCATTTTTTTAATAATATTTGATAACTAGTGACTGAAAAATCATCTAGTCAATAAAGATATTAAAATTATTAATATTTTTGTTAACAAGGGACCAATATATAATAAAACTTAATTATCAATCAACATTTTCACTTTGATTTTATCGTGTTAATTTAATGACTGTACTTTTTAAAATATTTTGTTTCTTCCAATTATAAATAGATAACGACAATGTCTCTAACCACCGTCACCTGTCAATAGAACCCATAAAACTGTCATTACTATAATATTACTATAACAGTATAATTCTAATTTTCGGACGTGACCTAAATGTTTAAAAGATTATCCCATGAATCTGATGTGCTACATTTCATGTGAATGACAAGATTCTTAAATATTGAAATGTATAAAAAAAATCATTAATTGATCATCATCGAATAAAACTATATAATTTATGTCAAACAGACAAATTTTTCATTCTTGATTTAAAATTAACTTAAATGAATGCTATATTGATCTCCATAGATAAATAGATCTTTTACCAAATAAGCAAATTCATATCTTTTGCAAATGAAACATACAGAAACCAAGTGTCGTTTTTCTTGCAAAGAACTGTTCTGTTTATGCTGTTGTTTTGTATATACTTGAAGTTTATAACTTAAACTTTGCTTTGCAAGTAAAAATATTTACACCAGAATGTTGTTAACTAAGGTAAAATTGCTGAAAGGCCCCTTCCTAAGTTATAGATATCTATCATTTAACATTAATCATAATATTTTGGGGTGTAAATTAGATACACCTACTCGGGCTAACGCCCTCGTGGTGCATCTTACACATTTCAGGACATCTTTAAATGTGTGTGCGACCTAGACTGCATGTTTGGAGATATAACCTTAAATCATACCTATGACACATCCAAGGTGAATTATATTGGTACAATGTACATGAATGCAGTTGGACGTTGTCGAGACCAAACATCCAAATTCATTCTATGATTTTTAAAGCTATAAAAACATATCTTACAAATTGGTTTAATTTTAAAACTATGGACCCAACAACTCAACTACACTCCATTTTCTAACTCCATGTTTTCACTCCATGACTCCACTCCAACACTCCAACACTCCACTCCACCACTCCACTCCACTCCACTCAACCTTTTAGTACATGCCTGATTTTACTACAGATCTCGGAAATAGTCGTCATCATCTCGTCTGCAAATCTAACTTAATGTACGCGTAAAATTTCACATTTATAATACTGCCATATGTTGTTGTGTATTTTAATGAATGTTGATGCCATCTACGACAAAAGAAGTGACAGCGAAAAAAAGAACAAAATTGGCGACAGGTATGTTTAATACATGATTAACAAATATTTATAACTGTGGCTGTACAATGAATTGACGCTTGTTGAAATAAACGATGAAAAACCTAAGAATTAATTCAATGATCTTCAAATTATTGTGTTCAAACATGCATCGATCTTAAAAGACATCGAAAAATTAGAAAAATTCAAATCCTTAAATGCTGTACGAGTATAAGACATGGAATTTTATCTTTTGTGATTTAGAACAAGTTAAAATGTATAGTCAATAATGGGTTAAGTGTACTAAATGCATGTTTTAAGTGAACACGTGATCTATTTTCACTGCTCTTTGGTCGGGTTGTTGTTGATGCATTCCCCATTCCCACCCTCAATTTTAACAAAGCTTATACATATAGTGTTAATATACTGTAACAGCAACCTAATAATACACCATTATTCTTCTTTTTATGATACTAGTAATCAGGCATTCAGTAAGAATCAATTCTAATGCATATTTTCTCCGAGGAAAGGGGATGAAATATTCTTGTTTACGTACTGATCACTGCAGTGGCGGATTTACTTAGAGTCAGAGTGGGGCACGTGCCCCTCCCCATCGCAAGGTCAAGGTCACCAGCAAACTTTGTATTGCTATTGAATCTACTTATCCACATCTAAGATATTATTTACAGCTTGATTTGACTTATAAACTTGTCGTTAATCAAACCCAGGCTCAAGTGGCGGATCCAGAACTTTTTCTAAAGGGGGAGGGGGCGCTGACTGACCTAAGGGGGCGCTCCAGTCATGCTTCATTGAATCTCTATATAACCAACCAAATTTTTCCCATGAAAGAGGGGGCCGGGCCACCCAGGTTCCCGTAGATCCGCCTATGGCAGCTTCAACATGCGTTATTTATGACAGCTTATCGTTTGGTGTGTAAATATTGACACCTGTCTGAAATGTCTCTTTGCAAAAGCTTTTATGTAAACTACATGTTAATTTGAACAGCACGAATATTTCTATTGGTTTAATAAACAATATTACAGATAAAGGATGTACTTAGGTGAAATTGAAAAAATCTAGAGTTTAAAAAGTTGATACTATAAGTCAGAAAGGAATTAGTAAAGGAACAAAATAAGCTAAAAATATTGATAGGTTATAGAGCTCCTTTTCGAGATATCTAATCTTTAAAAAATGGTGGGAAAAGGCTGACTCTTACCTTATATTTAGTATTGGCATTATTTGGGTCTCATATCGAAAGAAAAGAAATCTGGAATCTGCTTAATTCTTGGTTAATGACGTTTTATGAGCTATTGAAGTCTTAAATGAAAAGAAAAATGGGTGTTATGGGGCAAAATATTTTACCCTGTATCGTATAAAAAAAAACGAAGGAGTCAGAACATTTGACAAGAATTCCTCATTAAGATCATTTAACAGGTGAAATCTTCTGTTCAGGAAAGAAATTATATGCCAGTTGTTTTAGTGTTTATTGGAACACCTTCAATAAACTGTAAAAGCGGTTTCCTAAACCCCGGCTAATTACCCACCAGGTCTGGGGGCATGCACCCAATATTAGTATCCTCATGGAAGTATTATATTGACAGGAACTCCAACAAGTGGACTTCAATCGTTTATAGTGCGATGCCGCGTTAACTATCTGTTAATTAACTCGACATGTCGTATGGATACATGGGTTTCGATCGATTTTTTGGAACCTCGTGACATTGTAATACGGAACATACCGAAATAACCGGATGTGTACTTCATTGTCAAGGAAACGACATTTACCGACCATGTCATTAATGACAAATATGTCAATTTTTACGCAATGTTTGCCTTAAAATAAATAAAAAGGAAGAAACGAAATCCCCGCAACTATTTTCATAAAAAAAAAAACAAACAAAAAAACAAAATTACCCACAAGCCATAAACATTTCAGTTTAAGTTACAATCAATTTAAATAGTTTTTTTTTATTCATGAAAGAGGCGTTGATAAACACGCATAACGGTTATATATACAGGCTTGAAAATCATACAATTCTTATAAAAAGTATTAATCAGCAATTATCATCGCGCTTTACTCCTAACTTTGACAATGTTTTTTTAATTTAAGTGTTTATTGAAAAAATTTCCAAAAAAAAATAAATTCAAAAGTTGATTCCCATAGCGGCTGGTGCCGGGGGAGGTTTTGAGGCTTTGATCGGAAAAATATCAAATATTTTGATTATTTGTTAACTGAATGTTATCATGAGAACCAAATTTCAATTTATTTATGTCATGTGTATGTGTGTAAATGCTTAACAGTTCTGAAACATCTTACACCGTATGTTAAGCAATTTATGTTTTTGTTTCTCGTTGCATGAAATATTTGGCATTGGACATTCAGTTAACAAATAAATGATTTCCAAGCCTGTATATATAACCGTTAAAAAAGAAAAAGACAAACAGACAAACAAAAATACACAAAACACAATATAGAAAATAAAGACTTAGCAACACGAAACCCACCAAAACTGGGGATAATCTCGTTCTCTGGAAGAGAAGGAGATCCTGCTCCACATGTGGCACCCGTCGTGTTGCTGGTGTTAGTAATAACCTAAACAGTCAACCTAGTCTGAGATTACTCTGACGTATGACAGATTTTTTACGAATGGCTTTAAATATTTCTTGATGCATTTAAAGAACGATCACCATGATGGGCCTTAAACAGTAAATATTGGTTTTTATTCTTAAATGTCGTGTTGCTTAGTCTTTATTTTCTATATTGTGTTTTGTGTACTTTTGTTTGTCTGTTTGTCTTTTTCTTTTTTAGCCATGGCGTTGTCAGTTTGTTTTCGATTTATGAGTTTGAATGTCCCTCTTTCTGTTAAGTTGTTTATAACTTTGGAATTATTATAAAAGGTGTAACAATTGATCTGCCTCGTAACCTTCTAATGCTATGTAGAAGTCATCACATGCGTGTAATTAGTTGATAAATACGTTAATAACATTTTTCTACACTGAGACGAAAGAGAAAACCATAAATATTCTTGTAACATTCGAAAAAAATGTACAACCTTTAAGTTAAATTTAATCAATATAATACTTTCATGGTATGCTGAAAAAGAACATGTAATGACTATTAATATAATACGTAGCACTGAATAATGCTGATAATGGAACATATTATGCAGAAATTACTTTTTTTTCAATTTTCCCATAAACTTCTATAGTAATACCTATCCATTTTGATACACCAAAAATTACTTTCCATTCCACATCTTGCAAAACTTAATTTGCATTTTAAAATTTGTTTGATATACATTGTTGATTTACTTCATGCACTGCAAGTTGGCGTTAATGATGACAGAAATACAAAACTGTAGACCGCTTTACTTCAAAGCCATAATTTCGATAAATATGGTAAATGTAACCATCCGGTTATCAGGTTTATCAAAACATTTGTACACAATTTCGATCAACCTTATATCACGATGAATTAATCAATATGTGGAGTCGTGTGTAATGCTGATTCAAATTATTATGTCTATAAATCTTACATTACTTTGATTTACTAGAAAATTAATTGAAGTTGTATGATTTAAAAATTAATAGTTAAATGACTAAAAATTGTGCATCTATAGTGTTTATAAGAGAATAGAAATATAATGGTCACCTAGACTTCTACAAGCAGAAAATAAAATCCTTACTGACGTATAGAGTGCATGCGGGATTTATAATTAAGCAACCACTAAATTTTGAAATGTAGGCCTTTCATCCAAATCGACCCCGGCTGAACCAAAGTACAAAAATATACGACAAAAGGAACGATTTTTCGTTCCTTATTGTTAATTTTCCTCTTTTTTTTTTTTGGACGGTGGTGTTCCTTCTGCACCATCTTACGGTGTTTATGCATCACAACTCGTTCGCTATGCACGTGTCTGTTGTGACGTTTCGGATTTTAATGAACGTAATCTATTTATAACTGGTAAATTATTAAGTCAGGGATTTCGTTACCAAATTATTTAAAACCTTTACTAAACTCTTCCATAAATATTTAGATTTTGTTCGGAAGTTTGGTTGTATTTTTAATCGGAAAGCACACCCTAGTTTTTACGGAGATGTACATGTAGTTTGTCGAGCCTGGAAATTTAGATACGATCCGGGTAAACTTATCGTTACTTTTATTAAACTTATTCTAAAAAGATTACCAATTCAACGCTATAATTAGATCTTTTTGTACTGTTTTCATTGGTATAGTGGTTATCAGTAAATCAAAACCAAACTAAATATTAATTTAAAAAGGCACATTCATTTATAATAAATCCATTATATAGATCATGTAGATGTTGGATGTGAACTTATTTTATATTTTAGTCTTAGATGCATGATTTTATTAGTTATTATTGGCTTTGAACAGCTGTCAATAACTGCGAGTACACTCAGATCTGTACTTAGTGTCTTTTTTTAGTGGGGATGTATAGGTACTCTGCGTTTTTGTAAGATGTATTTTTTCTTTGTTTCGATCTATCCATGTATCGAGTTAAGCCATTTTCAACTGATTTTTATAGTTCGTTCTTATGTTGTACTGTTACACCACTATCCCAGGTTAGGGGAGGGTTGGCGCTCCTTCAAACTTGTTTAAACCCGCCACATTCTGTATGTACTTGTCCCAAGTCAGGAGCCCGTAATTCAGTTGTTGTCGTTTATTGCTGTATATCATATTTGTTTTTCGTTTATTATTTTGCACATAAATCAGGAGGTTAGTTTTCTTTTTTGAATTGTTTTACATTTGTCATTTCAGTGCCTTTAACAGCTAACTATGCGGTATGGGTTTTACTCATTGTCGAAGGCCGTACGATGACCTATAGTTGTGTCATTTTGTCTCTTGAGAAGATTTGTCTCATTAGCAATCGTACCACATCTTCTTATTTTTATAATGACATATTATACATATAGATTAGACCGTTAGTTTTCCTGTTTGAATGGTTTAACACTAGTCATTTTTTGGTCCCTTTTATAGCTTGCTGTTCGGTGTGAACCAAGGGTCCGTGTTGAAGGCCGTA